GAGGAAAGGAAATGCATGGTGTCACGGGTAAAACTTTTAACATTTGATGAGATTGGTTTTAATAAAATATCAATGAAATTACTGAGTCTATGTGTAGCACACGCTGGGCCTGCAATTATAGGTCGGAGTTTCAAATATCCCGGGTGTTCCATCTCAACATAGCTGCTTTTAGCACTTTCACAATGTCTTATGATCTCCTTACTTTTATGAATTTTGGGTAAGCCATAGAAATTGCCCGATTTGCAGTCAAAATGTGTTATATAATTTAATTCCTTTGATGTGAGCTCTTCTGAGTTCTGACTGGTTAGGTTCTTTAATTTCCGAAGTACACTGTCTGACTCTTTTTCACTGCACGGAACATAAGTACCTTTGTCCAGGAGTAAGTCCATTGCCATGTGTTTGTAGTTCGTTGAATCCATTATCACTGTTGCTCCGCTTTTGTCAGCTTCTTTTATTATGATGTTCGGATCATTGGCCAAAGAATCTCTCTGTTTGCTGGTTATATTAGAGTGTTTCTTGCTTGCGTTAGGAATTATTGGATAACTGTTTATTTGATCCACAAAATTATCCAAATGTTTGTTTTGTCCCTTTTTTGGCGCACCAAAAACTTTTATTTCTAACTAGGGATTCCTCCCCATTTTCACACTCGAAAAAGTATTCCTCATCTCGGAGTTTTCTGCAGAATTCAGTTAAGTCTTCTTTCACTTCATTGCAGTTACTTGATTTTGGGGTAGGTGTAAATTTGAGTCCCTTATTTAATATTGTAATTTCATCTTCTGTTAAAGGGCGCCTTGACAAGTTAAATATATTTATGTCTACTGTCTTTGGTTTATCATTTTCCTTCTTTTCTATATATATATTGTGCGTTTCTGTTACATATAAATAAAAACAGAATTTCCCTTTTCTCCATGTTTCGTTCTTTACTCTTCAGGGATATTGTAGCGGTTACAGTGCGTCCTGTGAAAACCATAGGTAGATGGATATTTGAATCAAAAGACGTAATAAGAAAAATGATATTTTTTTCTATTCTGATAAAATGCACAGCCACTGTGTATTGTGACTCAAGGGTGGAAACCTAGCATGTAGGATTAAAAACAACTGGAACCAAACAATCAATAATCATTGCAATAAGATTATGCATAAACATTACTTTATAGGTTATGTATTTTGGCAGTATTGGTATCATTGTGATGTGTATGATTTGTGAAAACATTATTTGGTTTGACCCATATTATTTCTAATCATTCAGACGTGAAATAATAAAATATTTTCTTATCTCAGTTTTTTCCAACTGCTGTTGAAATGTGATAACAATAACCTTTCTACCTTACACACTCATAGAAAGACATATAATCTTGATCTTTCTTCATCTGCATACACATCACTCGATACACATCACAAATTAATATGAAGACTATAAACAAGAGAACTAACTTTAAGCTTTCTATGTAATTGGAGAAAAACGTTTTATATTTTGGATAATTATGTATTTTTTCGCCCCTCCGCTCTCTTGCTGGTCGAGACTGGAGATAAGAAACACAAAAATATACGGGTGGCCATGTCCTACTTTGCAAACCCAGTATGAGTGACCCACTTGGTAGGAGAACATGAAACAGGCAATGATTCCGGATTCCTAATTCAGTTGGAATAATTTGCAAATCAGTTATAAATACAAAGAAAATACTTCTGATTTTACTTATGAATTTAAACATAAAATGCACTTTGCTACCGACTGAACGCCATATTACATTGTAATTATTTAGGCTTCTTAATGAGTATGTATTCAGTCAGTTTAGTGAATAATGTTTAATCATAATAAATAAACTGAAGCTAAGGCAAATGATGAATGTGGTAAACTTCATGACGAACCTTTCATTTAACGACAGCATATAATATTCCAGTGTCAGCTTTTCGATAAACTATGGCTGTCGGTGTCCCATTTGCTAGATCGTGTCAGTAATTTGTAAGAGAACGAAAGGGACGCTTTCAACAGCATGACACCGGGATACTTCTATCACAGTCCTAAAATCACTATAATTAGTATTGCAAATTTAGGACTATGATACAGAGGCACGCCATTGAACGCGAAGGTGTAGGTCAGAAAACTAGCTAGAATGATAGTTTAATCACTTGAAACCTCCTTAAATGATATTTACGAACTCAGAGATATCATGCCAATATGTGGGCTAGTTCATTAACGGTTTGTCAGTGTCTTCCCAACAGAGCATCTTTCGGCATTTTATTCGAAAACTGACAATATGTTAACTCGATGTAAATTCCACAGTCATTTAGGGGATAACTGTATTGTGTTTGACAAATTGGGGACGTATACCGGTGGTTATATAGCCGCAAATTTAGTTAAATCGGCGACGCGCAAGCGGAGCCGATATAACGTTAAATTTGCGGCTATATAACCACTGGTACACGTCCCCAATTCGTCAAACACAGTACAGTTATCCCCATTCTAATTCAACTCGTTTTACGCTGTTTTTTCGTGAAAGATTATTTAAACCAGGTCAAAGTTCCTCTAGGTCAAAGGATAATCATATCACTCCTTGAACATACACCTTCGCCAGAAAAAGTAGTTCCCTTTTCAAACTATACACGTTTATTGTGTGCACACAGACTAAATCTGACAATGCTGGATAGATCATAGTGTTACAGATAAAATGGACGGAATTATGATGAAAGCGCCCTCTAGTTACAGAAATGAGCGGCCCGCTGATTCCACTATCAGTTCTGTTGTCAAATGACGTCACAGCAGGTGACGTCACGCTCCATATTGACGTCATAATCTTGTTTCATGATCTAACAGTGTTGGGTCAACAGCCCGTTTCGAGTAAGTTGTTTGAACTTAAAATTAAATTTATGATACTGTTTTGTCGTTTTTAACACAAATTCCACCCATTTTAGCTGGATAGGGGAATTAATTGACCTATGGCTTCTGCAAATGACATTGTCCTGCAAAGCAGCGTTACCCCAATAGTGTAGGGATACATTCAAAGGTTTGGTGAATCGGTTTCCAATTTGCGACCGTATATGCTGGTTATACGGTCGGAAATTTATAGCATTGACCAATCAGAACTCGTGTTACATACTAAGTTGAATTAGAATGTGCGTTCAATGTAAACCCGTCCTTCTACCCAAGACGTTTATACCTGGAGACGACCAATGTGCCTGGATATGGGTTACACACTACAGCTGTCCATGGTCACGTGGGCTCCATTCCGAGAAAGTCATGTTATGCTGGACTTTCCCTGTGAAGAACGTGGTCAGTAGATATAGGGGGTGTATTTTGCTTGTCCAAATGTTCCGAGTAGCGGGGAAAGTATAACCTTCCGCATGCATGGTGAAGTGTAGGAATGAGTTGCGGGGGCTGTCCACACCCAATGATACCCCAGTTACCGTAGAAAGGCAGTTGTAGTGTCAGCTGAGGTCGTCTTGAAGACAGATTGGATGTTTATGTGATGTTTATGTGACGGTAAATGCCGGATAGCTCTTAACTGTGGCATGAACTATGATGATTATCCAATTTCGGTTGTCAGATAAATTATGCGAATGGTCCAGTACCATTGTAGCAGGCAAGCGTTTACTTACACCTAAATAGGCCATTTTAAAAATATATGTTCTAACCTGTTTTGTTATAGGTTAACCTCATTGTACCATATATATACAGTAAATTACTAATTCAAGCTCTATACGGTCGAACATGATATGAATTGAAAATCGGAATTAGATTTTCAGTGGTGGATTGTTTATTAGGTTGTGAGAGTTATGTCATGTCCACATTTACATAGGACTTTGAGACATGCATCTTTCAACTGACACCAGAGAAGAAATAATGAAATCACGCTTCGACCTCTTAAACATTCTCAGTATGGAATATGTCCACCACAAGCCAGGCCCATAGCAAGCCATTTTTTTTCGTGTAAGCCCGATAGGTTGCAAAGCTATTTATTTAGATAGTATTGAGGGTTTGCCCAACTTCCATAGCAAAAATCATGTGTAAGCTTTTTTTCATAATGGTAGCTACGGCCCTGCAAGCACCTTTGTACCCATGCATGATGTGGAACAATATAGCGGAGGAAAACCTGGGTATCGGGACCGATGTTGTGCTACCCCAGTCGGTTGTCCTGTCGACTAATTTGTCTCACTTGGGAATAAGGCCTGTAAGTCTCGCGAGGCGCTACTTCCGGTACTAAGCTGGGTCCCGGCTCACTTTGCGCGCGCTAACTTGCGAACGGCGAGACGGGGCCAAGCTTACTTCCGGTACCAGATTTCCGGTGACAAGCGTATATTCAAGAACCAAGCGTACTGCTTGGCTGTCACAGCTGTTGGCAGTCGTAATAATTGGCTTATATGGGGATGGTTAGATCGGAAATTTGTTATTCCTGCAAGGATTATCGGCTCCTTGCCGTCAACTAACAGCCGTGAGACTATTCGAAAAGGTATGAAACGTTGTTAGTCACGGGAGTACTAAGGTCTCGCGAAGTGCCGTGACCTACTTACGGGGCCTATTGTCCGAGCTGTAAAGGTGGCATCATTCCAAAAATGGTTATCATGACCTCGCGCGTGGATAACCGGTCCGTGATAAGTCATAAGAGCGTTGCCCTGTGATGATATCGTTTTTCGATGATGATTATAATTTCGAATTGGCTAAATAATATCTCTTTTCCATTTTAACTAACCTTATATTTTCTGTCCTTATGTGTTACTGCAGTGTTTATGATTCTTTGGACTTGTGGGGCTTATTTTTTAAGGTTAATGGACAAATTTATTTTTCCATTTTTTTATTCAAAATAACTGGTGGTTTTTCATCAAGCCAGAGTTACGAATTAAACTACATTAGCACGTGTGTCTTATCATAGTGTTAGTCTATATGTGGACACACTGCTCGAAACATCCTCCAAAAAAAATCCTTCCTTCATTTGTTTAGCGGACGGACGGACGGACGGACACTTACTATGAACCGTATTTACAAAAAGACAAAGGTTTCAGACTATGTCTTAAGGACAACTTTATTTAGGAAATATACTAAACTGTAAAGGTGTTGTAAAATATAATCTGTAAAGTATACAATACAAGTCAACGGACTGTACAAATAACATACAAAGAATTTGGACGACCTACAAATGATCTGTACATTGTACACTCGTGTGTCGCACAAGGTTTCAGTAAGCATTTGATGCCCTGAGCCCACGATCGTAAGCCTATGTAATATGGGAGTAACTATCTCTTTACGGAACCTCCCACGGTGCAGTTTTAGCGACAAAGTGATCGTAACTTCGAAACCTTAGGTGTAGGCGTACGCTCATAATCCCAGGAGACCAAATACTACAGAAACCTTGTGTGAACAAACAAAATGCGTGACATGAAATCACAGGGCTAGTATTGCTTTGCGGAGCGGGGCCTTGGTGACGAAATAAAAAAGTGAGGTATGTCAACGGAGTACATTGTAATAGTCATGGCAACACATATATTTAGTTTCAATCCGTGTTACATCGCTGATCAAAGAGTTCAAGCTTAAATTCTGAGGTGTTTATCATAGCTCCGATGCAGGAAAGAAAAGGCAATACAAAAAACCCATTCTTACATTCAGTGCCAGGTACAATCTGTACCTAAATACAAAGGTCATATTTGACTCCTGAGACACATATATCAGCAGTTAATCTCCAATCATCACACATACAGTATAAACAAATATATTATAAAGCATTTTGTTTAGCATAATAAACTGGTTTGATAGACTTGAAAATGAAAGATCATTAAACACATTCCAAGATCCACAATTCCCGGTCGATGAACTGTTACATTATCACTGTACCGGATCCCGCGTCTGCCGCAATTCAAAATCGAAAGTTAGTCTGAAACTAAGGCGCCAGACATTCAAACGGCGTTAAAGAAACATCAGTTTGCAAACAAATCACAACCCAAACCGTGATCATGCATATAGTAATGGAACCAATATACCCAACACAACAAAACAGTATACCTAATTTCAGTAGTCAAACAAATCACACACCATCACCAGGCTATTTGCACTTATCGACAGAAGTAAAAGAATTGAATCAGTTGCTTGCTATTGAAACATGAATAAAACTTGAAAACAAAACTTCATTGGCTCGATTAAGGGGAAATAATCAAATAGCACATAGACGCACATCCCTGCAATCATTACAGACAATTACCTCAGTGAAACTGATTTTCCAGGTGGGAGAACGATCAAAAGATCATATTCTATCTAAAATTTAGATGTAATGGCAAAAAGCCAATTTTGAAAATATAAAAAATGAAATCAGTAGAAATATCGGTAAACATTCTCCATCTTTCAGTGTTCCTTACCTAGATTTAGCTGGTTGTTTCAACTTTTTTAAAGTTATTTATCAGCTGTACACATTTCGGGAAACAGCCACCCGAGAGCACCCAAATACAACATTTCACTGTAGATATCAAAAACCCTGAAACTAATTGTTCCAATCCATGACAACAGCACAAAATTGAATTGCAAAGTCCTGTGGTTTCCTTATTTGGAAACCGGGAGAGCCACGCATCCTAGCCACTTGGCCGGATATGGGAGATCTTGGATGGAAGTGTCCCAGCATTCCGTGCGGGCGTCATAACACTCGATTGACTGCAGTGGCTGGTCGTCTATGGTGGACATCCCGCCGATCAGGTAGATCTTGCTTCCTGTAAAGTAGATTGCAGATGAATAGGATAAACAGACCACAGGGAGGTTGATTTAGGTCTAACAGAAGCGTTAATATCAATGCCAGAAACTTTTAGCGGTTTTATTCCCTTAGAAAACCCAGCAAGCCTGATGTTTTGGATGGGCTTATACTCATGCGTGGTCTAAAAATTCATGGATTTCCCTATTTCTCGCAAAGGAAACACAGGGACTCTGACACTCCGCTTGGATGACACATGGAATAACCTCTTTGTAGATTACATTCTCGAGCACGCGAGGGATTTAGAAAATAAAAAGGCATAATTAACACTAAAGCCGTCGTAAATGTACAGGCAATACAGCTCTTGTACGCCAAGTGTCAGTGAGATTATCTCACGACAGGTAATATATCTCACTGACTTAAATAGAGGATATTATATGAATGCCCATGTCATACTATGTTGACGACACGAGTGCCTAAATGTTAGTATTTCCCGAGGGAGAGCGAGGGATATACCGATATTTAGGCACGAGTGTCGTAAACATAGTATGATATGTGCACGAATAAAATATTCTGTTTATTCCCGAAGTCGTCAAATTGAGGGAAATATACCCAAATCTACTTTCAAACACAGGCTTGCTATCCGCCGTCGCCGCATGTAGAACGCAACGTCACAGAAGTAACGTGACGTCATAGCCTTGTTCATGACGTCACGTCACCATGATAAAGTGATATTTTGCCCTATAGGGCATCGTATGAAAAATATGAACCCCGATATGTTCGCCCTCGTAGGTAATAAATTGTATAAATGACTGACTCACCGATGACGGCGGCGCCAGCGTTATGTCTCGGCTTGATGAAGTCCGTCTTGTACTGCCAGCGGTCAGCGTCTATGCTGTAGGACATCATACTGGCAGTGCTCTGCAGGGGGTCTTTGATGTTTGATCTTGTAGCGCCTCCACAAAGGTACAGATGCTGACCAACACATACTAGGTTACAGTAGCAGCGACCTCGATCAAGGGAAGACAACGTTCTCCACCTGAAGTACAACAATCAGGAAAGTCCGTATAATCAGTACATACACTGAACATCTATGGGACCGATGATTTCATATTCAGTTGCACTAGACATTGGACCCTCAAAATATCTTGCCTCCGGTTGAATGGATGACCCGAATATATTGTGGCCTGCAATAGGTTGTTTAGCTAACCCTGACTGGAAACAATGTGCATCCTTGGAATTTGTATGATTTGGAACAAATTCATTTTATCTTGTTTTTCACAGGCCAACTTTGTGTTACTACTGATGTTAAGGACCTGTTAGTGATTTTGTTGTGTTTTTGCTCTATAAATCAAGCATTAACTCGATTATAAGTAGTTTATTTGTTTAAAAATACTTCATGCCATATATTGCAATACATACATTCGCATCGCAATATATCGCAATATGAAAATTCTCTGCAATACCCACCCCTACAAATAACTGAAGTCATATCAACAATAAAATATAGCAATCTGGGTACCCAGCTGGACATTACGCAACCTACTGCACAGGACATAGATTTTCGAATCTCTCTTAGCGCCAAGATAGTCGTAGGTTAATGTTAATGTATGACACTTACGACTGTTTTAGCGCTAAGAGAGCTTCGAAAATCTAGGCCCAGGGGCTCCTTTATCGAAGCAACCTTTACTGAGGTTAACCTTAACTCCCATTCTTTAGCATTGCACTAAGGTTACCTTAGTGACATACGATCGCCTTAGTCCTTTGTGAAAGGAGGCCCTGGTCTGTATACCAGGGTCTGGCATCTGACGTACCAAAAGGACATGGGCACTCTCAAACATTGAATGCCAATAGATTCCGATGTTCGATATAATTTTTCAATAATATGTATCTACATCCCAGTATATTTAGGCATTTTTCCATTCGTGAGAAACGACCCACGTCGTCCAGAGTACCAAGAATATTCCTGGTTTTATTATCGATCTGCAACAATCACGAAATATTTCCCCCCACAGCCTGCCGTACTATTGAAATAAGATGATATATACATGTACTTTCAACAGGTGAAGAAATCTAAATACCCATGACATTCTTGTGTCCGCGATACTTTCACAAAAACGTCCGCACGACAGCCAACGATTTCCTTACAATAACATTTAAATACTATAATATCAGCGCAAAAACCTTTCTAAATTCTAGACCCTCGATTTATTATCAGAAATAAGTAACATTTCTCTGTGTAGCATCGCCTATCATATCATCAGTATAGCATTATACCTATACAATATACACACATATGTCGAAATAGGAAATGTCTACACTTTTCAGCATCTGAAAATGTTAAAATGTTAGCATTGTTAACCGTATATAAGAGTAAACTTACGTATTCAACTTGGGATCATAACACTCAAATGTGCTGAGGACGGGCATGTTGGAGCGTTTATCAGCTGGGGGTCCGAGCCCTCCTGCCACAAAGATCCGACCGTCATAGATACACGCTCCGAATCCACATCTGGCTGAGCCCATTTCAGCAGAGTTGTGCCAGGAGTCAGTCTTCGAGTTGTAGCAGTCCACAGTGGACAGTACTCTGAAGATGGAAAATAGCAACCTTCGTCATTCTTTTTTTAAAGTATTTCAGGTTACTTGCAAAAAGTAATTTAAAGTGACAGTGGGGAAAGAGCATTGACAGACAAGTATCAATTTTGGTAATATCAATTAGCACAGGAATGGTACTGGTTCATACTACAGCTCGAAGTGAATTCTGGATCACAAATATATTTGTGTCTGTTCAGAGTTGAGTCCCGTAATCATGTCAGTATCCGTAGAATTCTAATCTCAAATTCGACCAAATGGTAGTCTCTGCCTTGTCAGCATCATGCCTTTGCTCAATGTTTTGCCATAGCGTCGAGAGCTACAACTCTGTAATTGGTGACCGCGGCATAACTAAAACAATTAGTTGAAACCAAATTATATACTAAACGTTTATCATGTTGAAGTATGATCCCTTAATAGAGCTCATTTGAACTACATATTGTGGCAACATGATGGACGTCAATCCATAATTCCGTACTTGTTCTTATCGGTCTGGCCACCAATAGCATACAGCATTCCGAACAGCGAAATGGCGGAGTGGTACATCCGGGCGGTTTTCAGAGGTGCTATCTTGGACCACTCTCCACTGGCAGGGTCAAACGTGAAGCACGTGTTGGTGGGAACAGGGGCCTTCTTGGACTTCTTAGGGTCACTGCCACCTAGACGCAAAGGTGATAGGAAACTTCAGAGAAATGCAAGGCAAATTTGGATAATCTATATATATCTCGTGACAAAGTGTTGCATGTATGTTTTGATTTCTGCTATTATGAACTGTATTATCCAACACTTACATATGTATTAAATAAAACACATAATTCATAGTGTATAAAACATACTTTGACCCTGTTTAGCGTTTTGAAAACGAAACGAATATCGATGTTCATGTTGTTGATCACTGGATTGTCTGGTCCAGGCTTGATTATTTACACACCGCCGTCATATATAGAGATTATTACTCAAGCAAGCAGGAACGAGGGCAATACATAATTTTGCATGAGTTTCGTATAAGTCGTATGGCACACTTGCCCGAGTGTAATAATTTCTTCATTATTCATTTTATTCATGTACATTTGTGCAGTAAAACACGATAACAAGTGTGACGGCCCTCTTCATTGACGTCATGTTCAATTGTTTAATGACGTCACATACGACGAAATACAGAAACAATGGTTGCTATGCAAAAGTGATATGTGCACATGTGACGATATGATATTTATTACTCGCCCGTGGAAGATACCGCAGTGTAATATTTTTACGGCAATATTACACTAGTGTAATACCGCTAGACATGTGACGTCATAATGGTTACAGTTATGAAGTCACAATGCTAATGCCTCTGTCGCAATGGTATTATATCTTGTTTGACTCGCAGAAAATTGATATGAGAGTTATCACACTGTAGGCAGTTTCTATAAATTATTTATGTTGGAGAGTAATAAACAGAATACTATACTCGCTTCCGTGAAATACCATTTGTATTAAACTCTTTCGCTCGTTTGATACCAAATCGTTACACTCGTTTGATAAAATTGGAATTGCACGGAAGGTCGTTTAGTATCCTCTTAACATGACACTGTTTATGTTTCACCATATGGATACTAAAAGTGTAATATTGCTGAGTGCGGCGACAAACTCACGGCAGACATATGAAGTATCAGAGTTACATATCTGAATGTAATAAGATTGGGTACGACTGTCCGTGAACAGAATATCTTGCAACTGAATTGGAACAACAACAGTATGGCCGACTGTCCGTGAATAGAATATCTTGCAACTGAATTGGAACAACAACAGTATGGCCGGTGAAGCCAGTGCAGTTTCGATGGAAATAATTAAATTATATCCTGCCTTTCCATTATCCCTTTCTGTATTTGTATATAATGCATAGTTAGTATATATCCAACTTTCAATGGAAATTTGTCACTAGGTATTGTGATCTTAGCTTAGTGATCTACTTTTGAAAAAAGCTGAAGGTAGAACAAGTATTCTCCAATCATACTTGGATTATATTATCTTGACTTTTATAAAGATGTCTTTCCACTCACCAATTAGATAGAGTTTTCCGAACAACATCGCGACAGCATGGTGCTGCCTGGCTTCCGGCAGCCCCGTGTAGTACTTCCACTGGTTCTCCAATGTGCTGTACCGCTCAATGTCCTTGGCTTGAACTACCAAAAAGACATGGTAAGGGGACCTTTGAAAAGTATACATTATTTCTTTCAAGATTGGCTAGTAGGTGTCCAGGTTTGAAGTGGGGTTTTAGACCAGTGGGGATTCCGGCCAAGAATGTGTCAAGAGTAACCGGTATTTGCAAGGCAACTGAACGGATGGGATGGTCAGACTCGGTGACTTTGTTGGTAGTGTGTCATGGCACCCCAAGGACGTGGGACAATGCTAGTACTTCACTGGTTTGTCTAAAGTACTGTCGGATATGCTAGAAAAATGATTTTTGACTTATATTTAAAATTCAGAGGTATTACAGTTACTTAAATAACAAATATCACTTCAAGAAACATCAACCTAATGTAGACCGAGGGGATAAATTTTGAGACATGCTCTAAAATCTGTTTTTACTGATAAAAATACCAAAAACTTAGAAAAATAAGGTAGTTGGACGTTATTTGAAACAAACATTAACTGCCTGTGTTACGTCATCAGCATGCACGGTATCGACAGGTGAAATTGACACCTGAGCACACACTCGGGCGAGGGGTCGTCTCAATAGATGTTTTCTGCAAAATGTTGAATATGTGTACGTATAGTATACGTATCAGTTATGTAAGGGATCATTTGTGTATGTGTGTTTGTTTTGAAATAAACATACGAATTACTGTACATTGGAAAGAATCCTATCACTTGTGTTATCTTATCGATTGATTGTAGAAATGTGCAACGTTTTAATAAATGTTTTGCATGTCAACAGTATATTCCATTGAAAAAATATGGATGTAATTCGGTCAGTTTAATCTAGTTGTGAACATTGGCCAAAGATTTAACGAAGTCACTGGTGTAGCTTCTTTAGAATATATATATATTTTTCTTCTCATAAAGTTTGTAGACCGCCCGTCTAAGCACTCCTTTGTCAAAGTTGTCAAGGATGGTTTTACGTTCCGGTTTTGCATTTGAGACGGTCCCTGTCTTGTCTGATTTGTTTACAATATTGTAAACTTGTTAGTAAGAAATGCCAACAGCTCTACAAGTTCTGTAATAAACCCTTTCTAAACTAATAAGGTTCACCTCTGTCATTTTTAAGCAGAAAAATCATATAAACCTTTGCAACAATCGACTGCAAATCGTTGGCCACAGTGGACGCTGTGATAAAGATGTGCATGCATGACGGGAAACTTATTTATCAAGACTTAACATTTATATTAATATTTCTTCAATAAAGAAAACGATAATTAAGTAAAGTAACACAAACATTCAACATTTATTTGTTTAGGAAAAACGTTAATTCATATTTTTACACCACCTGTATTATTAGCATAAATGTAAAGACTATTTCAGATTTCTGTTGTTGAACCAAATTCTCTCCTGTAAACTGCCCTTTAAATGCATGGGAATGTTAAATCGATTGAAATAAAAATTAGGTAGACAATAGGCGAGTTGATATATTGACAACATAGTACATTTATCACCTTTATAAAGATATAAAGGCTAAAAAGCATTTTTCTAGCATGTCCGACAGTACTTTAGTGCAGACGTGACTATTTAGACAGCAGAAATGTTAAAGGGCAAGTGTACACGAATAAATCACATTTATTCTTATGTGAATCAAAGTGAACTGTTTTAATTAGTTAATACCAATGTTTGAAACTATACACTCATTTTTCTTACAATGTTAGTATAACCCTCAAAATAAGTGCTGAAATGTTATGCCAATATGAGGTATTTGTTTGCCGAGCTAAACAGTCCAGAGTTACCGCCCTTTGATTATGACGTAATTGGTGCCACTTGATTTTAAACTGGTCTCCTGTCTAGTCCCAAATCAAAAGATAATAATACTGATATTAATCACGTGAAAAAAAGTTTGTGAAAATACGAAAGAAGCATAAGAACAGAAAATGTAAGCAGCAGGACGGATTGATCGTGTGCATTTTCATTCATAACCTCGCCTCAGTGAAAATACCAAATATGTTTAACAATGTTGACAATATTTTTCAGAATGGCGTGTTCACTTACACGAGTACGGCGGAGTTTTCGAAGGAAATTTTCGTTGTTTCAAGCAACGTATATGCATAAATGTGACATGTAAGTAGTCCGAAAATTATGTCAGTCTGCTGGTTGTTATTTTCTTTTTGTTTTCATTGTGACCAAGGGAAATAGTCAGAAATTAAGAGAAGTACCGTCATCGTTGTGCGTGAGTTTGCGTCAGTTATGGCGTCATGCTTTCAAAAACTATAATATGTTGTGATGAATCTAGAATATCATTGGAATACACCTGTTTTATTTAACTATCGCTTGCTACGATACCTTTCTCATGCATGTTCTAAAACTAATGAGCAATTGTATGCAACAAGTAGGCGAACGGATACACAGTGTAAAATCTGAGATTGGCTTTGTATACATTTCAAACAAGTATTCTTTCACAGCGCGTCATCTCATATCCTCGATATATTTCGTTAGATTTCACTGAAACACTTCGTATTGGTGACAAAGTCCATTTGTCAGTTTATTATTTAACTATATGAGGAATTCAGGGATTCATGTAAGGAAGATGGTGTTGAATTATACAATTGATTTTATGGACGAAACATAACCGACATACATGTGACATGATTTTATAAACACTATGTAATATGGCTGAAAATTCACTTTGACGTTTGCGTATTTTCCAAAACATTCTCAGCGATTCTCGGTTCATCGATAATGTTTCAGAACGAGCATTGGTGATTCGATCATACAACAACAAAACTACCGCTAATCACAATGATCACGTCGATTCTTTTAAATTCAATTCTCCCAGTAAAATTTGACATTTGAATTAAGACATTCCTTAAATTACGCAAAACGCAGTGAATGGTGATTTAGTAATGTGTCAAAACTGGCGAGATTTACGATGCATGTAATTTTCAGTAAATTTTATCTACAATGAGCGGATATCATAGAAAACGAATTTCAAACAGTGTTCAAAACCGCAAATTGCGTGATGTATTTGGATATGTACTATCGATATCAAAGTGAATTAGGTGGAAGAGGAGGGACATATCGTACGATTTACGTAAGAACTTTAGTAACAAACGTAGAATGCCGGTACATTCACCGATGGCAAGCAAGATGTAGTGCATATACGTTTTAGGTTTCATGAAAAAAGATACTGTTGGAAAGGCGACCGACTCAGGTCGAATATGTTATACAATTTGGTTACGTGGTAACACTTTTAGAACAATGTTTACGTTTTTTCAAACTGCAACGTCATTACAGTGTAGAACTGACCACATAGTCAGCTGCTGAAGGCCAAGCAACAGGTGGATTAAAACAGTAGCCTGCGCATCGAGACACAAGAACCACACCTATACCTGCACTACGTGAAATGGGTCTAATAAGGTCTGACGACGTCATTCGTTTATCGTTTGGGCACCAATGACGTCATTTCCAAGGGACATAAGCCATGGTGTGTTTATTGTGGACATAGAACCTTTGGAAAATGTTGAAAATATGAATTGATATAACGCAAATAATAAATTAGTTACTTCTGATATATGTACGGGTTTGGATATAAAACTTCTTGATAAACACTTTTTATGATGAAAAAGTGCAAGACAAAAAGGTTAATTTTCGTGTACACTTGCCCTTTAAGCAATCATGAAACGAAATCAAGGAACAATTACGATTGTCATGAAAATGGTTTTGCAGTTTTGCTACTCAGACATATGAATAAATAGGATGAAGTAAAAAATCCTCACTAGGTACAAAATCATCAATTCCGGACTGTTTCCCGAAAGGCCCTTGCATACCCGAAATGGGACCGTGTACGGATAACGGTCACGAGGTCAAGGTCATGTGATAGGGCGTCCTATCGCTGTTCGGAGCTACACGTATCCTTACCATCCTTATCTTTGGCGCCTTTGTGAAACCCTCCAATGGCGAGGATGTCCCCGGGTCGGGGAGACACCTGTGACCCGACAGATGCGTTGTCTGCGTGGACCGCTGGTAACGGTTTGGCAGGTGTGTTGTCCGGTTGGGGCTCTTCAATAGGGGGCATGTGAGTTAACTCTACTGGTGGATCATCTTCTAAAATACTCTGCAGAACAGCAAGCATGGATACTGATACAACCATTTGTAAACCAAAAGTCACTGTGTTCTTTAATCTGATTGGTTGAAAAACGTGATCAAATGGTATTTGATTCCCGGAAATTCTCTGCGTATTAATACATACAAACATCGCTCACACCATTGTATTGTTACGTCGTCAGCTGTGATGACGTCATTAAAATCATATTGTGACGTAAAGTCCGAATGACGTCACAAATGAGCAGTTCCAGATGCTACCATGGGAGACAGCCGAAACGGCCGGCTGATGACATTTCACTGCTGTACCCGTACTCGATGTCAATGAGAGCAGACACAAAAAACGTGTGTGGACCTTTCGGTTTACTTTTGTGTTTACAATGTCGATAAACATCATGTGTTGGCGAATTTCCGGGTGTTATTGAGTATTTGAAGCACGGGAATTCATTTGGAACCGACGGCGTCAGCCGGAGGTTTCAAATGAAATATTCCCGTGCTTCAAATACTCAATAACACCCGGAAATTCGCCAACACATGATGTTTATCTCCTAAATGCATTTTGAGGATATGTAAAATTACAGTAACAAAAATAACAACAAAAAAAGATTCTGCCAGATTCTTTAGCTATGTATCGAATTGATGAGGTTTGATTTAACGACGTTTCAAGTTTACTAAAACAACCTTGAAGGTTTCGTGAGACTGTGGCACATAGTTGTCCATCATACACATGCGAGGCTTAGGCTTGATCAGAAGAAGCGGGTCAGACCGACCTAGTTCACCTGCAGTAATAATCCTGAAAAAGATAAATACTATATACGTTCAGCAAGATATTTACGTACGTGTTATATATGCAATATTACAAGGAGGGGGTAGGGAGCATGAAAATGTTGAATAAAATTGGATGCGTCAGCTGAGCATGATAAGGTCCTAAGAATAGGTCCCGGGTGCATGTTAGAAAATAAAACACAACGTAAAGACAAGTAAGTGAGCGAATGGTGATACAAAAACGGAAGTAAGGTTAACTTTTCTGTATGCGTTGTCCACGTTGCCGAAAAGCAAAAACGTGAGAGAAGCACTTGCTTTTGTAACAGCGCCTGCCGAAACCTCCGTTGGTGGGGGTCAAGTGGCCACATCATATACAAACGGACCGGACACTGTACGTGCATGGTGCAATAACGCTAACATTAATGACGGTGCAACGCATTAACCCCTGGATACCGAGAGGTTTTTCTAACTCACATGCATCTTGTATAAGGTCTAAAAAGAGAACGCGGGGCGAGAATTGCGCTCGGCACTGGATCTACCTACGGCTATATAATTACACAAAAATGTAGAATATTAAATGCCTTATCCGATGGGGTAAATTAGGTGGTTTGAGAAAAATAGATTGATATTTGAAATATATGCTTCAAAATTATGGGAGGAGGTATTGATTTTGGACATGATTGGGGGTGGGGTGGGGGGTTTACTTATTTTGTAAATAAATTATAGGGAGGCATTCACATTGTATGTTTCTCCATAAAAATCATCACACACAGATCTGCGCCCAATGGAACATTTATGGGATTCACAGGTACAGCTAGAGCGCCGAAGGGAATCCTTAAACACTTCCCCAAAACTTCTTACGGCAGTGCAGCAAGAGTGGCAAGACATTCCACAGCCTGTTTTGCAACGCGTGATGGCGTGATTTATACTTTTCTTTTTTAAGAGTATATATACTTACCAGTTTGCTGCAAGTATCAGTTCCCGACAGGCTGCTGACTTCCGGAGCATGTCTGTGACCTCGAAGCACTGGAAGAGTTCACTCTGTGACATGAGACCAAAACGGACACACTTCATCACTTTCAGTAGATAATTGTGTCTTTCCGTAATGTGGAAGGCGATCCACTTAAGCCCCGCCCAGAACACATCCATCTCAGTGTTGATGTACAAGTAGTCATCACTAAGTATCTGACACACCAGATCGAGGCTAAAGTTCAGAAACTGCTCAACGTCGAACACATCACAGAAGTTCTCCTTGACTAACATATAGGCATGCTTGAAGACGACAGATTCACGGGAGATTGTTTTGCTGGCTAAGATGTGCACTGCCTGATCACTGCCTATACATTCCACGTACTCTGTACATATCTGCCGTATTTCGCGGATATGGAATCTGTCGCCAACCGCCATAATGTCTGCGACGTTTCAGGGGAGACAATCATCTGCCCTGTATAGACATATCTCAGGAAGGCCTGGAAGGCATATGGATTAACGCCTGGCAGATTTACTTCCACTGGCAGCTTGGTGTTTTCGGTATGTTTCATGAAGATGTCCGCGAAGTGTTTACTGTGACATGCCAGGGCTACTCTGTGTGCAGCAAATGTTTGTCCACCGACGTGGATCAGAACATCCACCATTTTGTTTTCGACGTGGAGGGATCGGAGGTACTCCCCTAACAAAGCGTAGTGATGGAGTTTGTCTACTGGCAGGCGACTGAAATTTTTAAGAATGTCTTCCATTGTGTAATTAATAATTCCGCCACCGTCGGCGTCGCCGATTTGTCGGATCAAATCGTTCAGATCATCATCCGCCTTTAGTGAGCGTAGGGTGAGGTTATCGTTGAGGACCAGCAGACGACCTTGCGACTGGGAGAGGTTGGCAAGACGTGAAGCGTTGGATCTCACAGTTTTTATTTTTTTATTGTCGCCATCTGCCACACAAAAGAAAACTGACATAAATTAATTAATCATGCAGAGACCATAGGTCATATTCATGTACGGTAGCATAGGAGGTACTGCTACTGATTGAGAACAATGACGAACCTTCATTTCTTTTGACACTGACTTGGATTTGATATTTCAGAGACTGGGCCTAGATTTTCAAAGCTCTCTTAGCGCTAAGATAGTTGTAAGTTAATGTTATTGTATGGCGCTTACGACTATCTTAGCGCAAAAGAGAGCTTCGAAAGCATCTAGGCCCAGGAAAAGTCGTACAGAAACATTTATTTTCAGAACACCTAGGTACTTTTTGTACTTGCATTATATTAGTCATTTGATTCTGTGCAACGTCAATGGACCATTGAGATGTAGACACTTATAACTGCATTTATGGCGTTTGGAAAAAATGGATAAAAAACTATGAAAAGAGTTATGCAAGTGTATTATCGTAAGGAAGCATTATGTATATAATTATATCTGTAAAAGACAACCACTAGTCGCTGATAAGTCGAACAGGTCGAGGCACTTATAGGTTTATTGTCATAGTTGTGCAATTAACGGGGGAGAGTTAGTGACTATTATAATTTATGACAATAATCATGACTAACACATGCATTGTCAATTTATTAATCTTATGGATTAACGTGAAATGATTTGTCTACTTGGAGTTATATCAGGAAATATCAGGTATATTTTAAGAGGCATTGAACTCCACAGCAGTTTGAAGACGGTTCGCTATATTAAACCCGAGAGGCGTGTTTTCAAAACACTTCTTTAGGACGCCGAAAGACGTTTACGCACGCTTCACTGACTATTACAGACGTAAAGTGACGTTAACTTGGCTGAAATTTTCTTCGTCTCCCCGTTGGCTTTGTTCTAGGACTTACTATGCGTTGTGGGTTCGCTTCCGAGGCACAACTCGCAAAAATTCAATATTTTATACACGGTCCGGTGCATGTCCGAAGCATAACTCATCTTTTCACTATTTGAATTAGCAAAGTAGCCATATTTTGCCTTTTGTACGTGTTTTCAATTTAACACATCCGTTTAACTAGTGAGTTATTAATTGTGAAACACTCATTACCAGAGTTGCTGAATACTTGCATTTTTGTCTTGCCTTTCTAACATGTTGTACAAGTCAGACAAACTTTATGGATAACTCTCGTAATAAAGAAGTTGTTATCCATAAAGTTTGTCTATTACAACTACTTCCCAGCTTCTAAAATGACAGTCAAAGAAGTAATGTTGTACAACTGTTCAATAGTTATGTTGTACAAATGTTCAATAGTTATGTTGTACAAATGTTCATCAGTAGATACACTTTGCTTCTAGCTAGACTGACGCCTTTCGCTCTTCAATAATTTACATTTGCTTCATTTCATTTTCCTTTGGTGGAACGTATATACGCTGAAGGAAGTGCTCATGTTAAATGTCAAACATAATCCTTTCACTACGAGAGCAATAACTTTAACATTGTGAGGTATGTTTTGGATATAGACTTAGAGTTAAAGCCTTTCTCTACTGCTTTAGTATGATTTATACAAATGTCAACCTTAAATCCGTTGGGATATTCGTTTGCTGGGTGTTTCTCTATGACCAGTAATGGTTTATAGTGATTGAGTTTGCTGTACAAATTACATACCTCTATGCATACTCAAAGTGCGGATATAAGAATTATTTTGTCGTCTTGTTTGTTATCCAAAGATGGCAGACAGAGCATGGTATATTACATGTACATATAAATCACATTAATGAAATAAACCTAGCTACGTCATTAACGGATCCAGAGGGTTCGAACCCCCGGGTTTGTTTATTTGTGTTTTGTTTTATTTTTTTTTTTGGGGAATGGGAAATGACTTAAGACCACATTGAAGATTCTTTTGGCGTTGGCGGAGCCAATGGGGAGTTCACCCACTGAACACCCCACCCACCCCCAACCCCTTTCACATTTCCTGGATCCGCCCATGTACGTAATGTTTAGTTTGACATATTTCTCGGGACTAAAACATAACAGAAGCCGATTTTTACATGGTTTACATGATGGGTATCCTTTTCCCCTGTGCCTCATCGCAACATTCGTTCAACTACCATTGAAGACGCGTAGACATTCGAAATGAATATTATCATCAAATCTCATCAATTTGGGGGTTTTATATATTGTTTTAGAAGATTATTGTAACAAGTTTAAGTTAAAAATAAAAAGAGATAAGACTGAGATAGTGGTTTTTAAGAATGGCGGAAAATTATCCAAGTTTGAGAAATGGACATTAAATGATAATTATTTAGAAGTAGCCAAGGTTTATAAATATTTAGGTGTATATTTTTCAAAAACTTTATCATGGAACATACATGTAAATAATGCATCCCTACAGGGTAAGAAAATACTTATGGGAATATTTCATAATTTGAAGAAGGCTGGTGAAGTAAATTATAAAACATTCTTTAAAATATTTGATTCCAAAATTAAACCTATTCTGTTATATGGCTCAGAGGTTTGGGGTTTTACACATTTTAATGTCTTACAAAGGCTTCATCTTTATGCGTGTAAAACATTTTTAGGTGTTAAGGTCAGTACTTATAATTGCATGGTTTATGGAGAATGTGGACGTTACCCTTTATGTATTGAAGCATATAAGCAAGTTTTAAGATATTTGATAAGGTTAGTAAATATGCCGCAGTGACGTTATCCCAAAAAATGTTACAATATGATGTGTATGTATGATAGAAATGGTAAGATAAATTGGGTAACAAATGTGAGAAATATGCTTGAAACATGTGGATTCGGATATGCTTTTAAACTTGATTGCATTAGCTTCCCAAATGTTTTTATTAAATCTGTAACACAAAGGTAAAAAGATATGTACTTGCAACGCTGGACTGCCTCGCTAACTCTATCACCCAAAACCTCATTATATAGCACTTTTAAATCAGATCTTATAGCAGAGCATTACCTCCTTGATGTTAACATTAAAAAGTTTAGGACAGCAATTGCACGACTAAGATGTACATCCAATGAATTAAATATAGAAAAGGGCAGATATCATAATGTTCCACGAGAAAATAGACTGTGTATGTTATGTGATTTAGGGGTGATAGAAGATGAGTAACATTTTATATTAGTCTGTCTGCATTTTCACTATTTAAGAATGTTATATATAGCCCCATTTTACCGCATCAATCACTGTGAATATAAATTAAGGTTATTGTTGAAAGCAACAAATCTACAAATTGTTAAAAATCTATCAATGTACATCTATCATGGGTTCAACAGTAGAAAATTTGTTTTAAATACCATGTAACTGTACACACTTGTATTGTACTATAGGCCTGTGGCCTCTTCAGTACCCTGAATAAAAGAAATTGAATATATATTGTTTCCAAGGGAAATTGCAATTGAAAGCTGACATCTTTCATAAACAGGTATCACGCATAGATGCATGGATGAAACAATACATGTCTGAATGTGATGCTCGTCCGTTTACATTAGGATTGCACTGATTAAATTAAACATACCTTTCTCATTGAGAGGCCGACACTGTTGGAAGGGAACCTTGTTGTACATGCTTACACAGGGTGTGTCCGTTTTTATGAAACATTACTGTAAACATTATTGATGTAACACTGAAATACATGCGTGTAACCAAGGGGCCAAGGGGTTACATATCAACCTCTTGACACATGTATGTACCTATAAACTAAAATACGAAAAGTACAAACCTTTTCCAACATCGCCTTGACAGACCGTCATCCTGTTTACTATCTCTTCTTTTTCTTCTGGTACAGGTGCAGGATATTGTATTGCAACAAAGCCACTGTCTCCCAAAGAGTCCTCGTAGTATGGTTTCGGGGAGCCTCGCCCTGCTTTTGGTGTTGAAGTTTTGGGTGTCCCATTACCCGAGGTTTCAAAATTCCCGCTGTTGTTTCTGAACGTTTCACGGACATATTTTAAAAACGATGGACTGCTTGTCTGTTGACCTATCTCAGACATCTGATCGTAATCCGATTCGTTCAGTTCAGTTGTAGTTGCTCTGGAGATTGCATCTTCACCATACCCTGAAGGCCGTTTGTATTTTTCTCCCATTCTGCTTGAGGGTCAAAATCACCACTGACCAAAGATACAGAATCCCATAACTGTCCCGCAACAGGGCTGAAACGCTGCATAATGTTGATGTGAGGAAACTGAAAGTATGTTGAGCTGTTTACCAAATGGCAACTTCACGGCCGCTAGGAACAAACAAACGACACGATCGATGACGTCATTACGAATCAAATTGCGTCGCGCATTGTGACGTCATTGTCCGCCCAAGTATGTTCTCTAAGCTTGTTCCTATGCTGGCCCCATTTTCTATAGTGTAGAGATATTTATGCTTCAAAGAGTTGTAGAAAAAAGATATTGTGCCACAAATAATACATTGTTCTCTGAGGCTTTTAATATATTTTGTTTGTTTCGGCTCATAGACTGAATTAAAAAGATATCTAATTTTTCAGGTGTTCCTCCATATATGATATTTATGGTCTTCATATCTTTGTTAATTAAAATCGCGATATTTCGCAATTCTATTTCAAATGGCGAAGACTAAACTTTGATTTGTTTGTTGCTCCACGCTCAGCAAAATGCCATATATATCACGGTGCTCTGTAAATAATGGGGATTGGACCAGATTGTCCAGTGATGGCATCAGGAGCACCGAACTACTCAGCTGGGTTAGGATTGCCTGCATCAACCAAGTCAGCTGAAAACCGGTTCTAACCAAGATATTCACAGGCATTATATCCCGAGTGTCTGCCAGACACTATATTTGCAGCCTAGGCTGTTGACAACGAGATACGAAGAAAATACAATCAATACTTCTTCGCTGGGACTCCTTTTTGAGTGCACATGCCCTGGCGCTCAGATACCACATTTTTTACCGTTTAAGTTCCTTTTAGAGGTGAGGTGAGGTGAAATTTGGTTTTACGTCGTGCTTGAGAATATTTCGCTCATATGACGACGTGCATGCGTGTGTATGTGTATGTGCGGCTGCTTGTACTAGTCCAGACTTGAGCTGGTTTTATAGTGCTAGCCCACTGAGATACCATGCCGCAGTAAAGCATGAATACCCCACTCAGACACATTATACTGACTCCGAGCCGACCAGTCCTTGCTGTACCCATTAATGCCGAGCGCCAGACAGGGACCAACAAGTACCATATTTTAACGTCTTTTGGTATGACGCGGTCGGGGATCGAACCCGCGACCTTCCGCTCTCCGGGCGGACGCTCTAACCACTACACCACGGAGGCGGTCTCCTTTTAGATATGAAGGGGGCGGTTGCATAGCCTAGTAGTTAAAGCGTTTGCTCCTTACGCCGAAGACCCGCGTTTGAATCCCCACGTGGGTACAATTTGTGGAAACGCCCCAAAGTTGCCTTGATTTGTCACACTCTGTACATATATAACTGTCTGACATTAACTCTTAAGTTAAGTCTGGCAATAATTAGCGCAGTGTATGACTTATTTCCAAATTGTTAGAAATTGAAACAATGAACTTTAAAGACAAAATAGAATGACCACCCAAAATTATCAAAGCACTGATGTCGTGAGAGAAATTCAATTTTGTATTATAGACATGCTATAAAGCAGACTTTCAAGCGTCCTTAAGAGGAGTAGCCGATTTTTTTATGTATCCCCTCCACGCAGTCTGCTTTTGAATGCTTTTATTATGAAATATCAGACGACAGATCAAACTTGAAGAAAGCTTGCAACGCAGGTGAAGTTCAACGTATGTCGTAACGGCATCGCGTGTCATTTTCGGGTGAGCGAAGGTTCCGTCTGCTCGGTGTCGACGGGAGATCACGGATCTACTAACGTGAGTGAGTTTAGTTTTATGCCGCTATTTGAATTATTTCAGCAATATCACACAGTATCCGCTCGTCTCGCTGAAGACCCGTGTTCGATTCCCATCATAGGCACAATGTGTGAAGCCCATTCCTGGTGTCGCCCGCCGTGAGATTGCTGGAATATTGCTAGAGGTGATGTAAAACCTCACTCACTCCCTGAACTGATGTCTGGATACACAAGAAAAGGGTATCCTCCCTATAGATGTAAATATTCATTGATATAAGCTGCATCTTGGTACAATGCTAATGGTACCATCTTTGGGGTTTGTTTTCAAATATAAAATACAGCTGAATTAAGAAAACCACATAAGCACAAATAGTGTTTAACAGAAACGTGTTTTGTTCAGTATCTTCAGGGAAATATACACTCTGATATATCCCCCACCTCATCCTACTGTTCTACCAATTACCACACCTGACTGCACAACCTAATTTAAACAATCGGAGGTGGCAAATCAGGAAGACCCCTTCTTACGAAGACACATGTGGATTAATGTCTGTTAGAACATATTTATGTGCATATCAGGTTATTATCGGTATGCAAAGAGCCACCCAAACGGATGTAGATATTTTTCAAAGGGCTATGTGCAATTAATTCTCCACTGAACCCGGAAAGAAAAAAGAATAAAAGATTGTTAAATGAATATAACGCACCTCCGAAAACAATAGATCACGTCACAGATGGTTTTAGAATTATTATGTCAGTCGCCCCCTGTAAATTGGAATGATTGGGGGAGGGAGTAGCCTTGCTCCCTTGGCTTAACACTGTACTGAGTGCTAAGTCCATGCATGTACAGTAATTCTATCCTTTAAAGAGGCAAGTCTAGATAAGCGGACATTATCTGGTATTTATAGTTGTTGTTTTTTTATAGAAGTTATCATTTAAACTATCAATTATTACCTTCGAGACTTGTACAAGTCTAGGGAGGGAGGTAACCGAACGGGGAATGGCTTGAGATATTCCACCGAGAGACGATGTTGCAAGTAGCTGAAGCGGATGTAAAAGTATCATTAAAACTGTTGCCAATTATACAGTCGGTATTAATATCTTAACTCGCTCAGCATTCAGCAATGAAAAAGAAATTTGACACCATTTTTTTCTATGTAAAAATAACAAACAATTTTTATTCGATTCAAACAAAATAATATCTGTTAATCTATGGTATTCATCTCCAGAACATTTTCTAATACATTTAATATTTAGTATGTCAGGCATTTTTCAGTTCTGTAAGCCAGTGCCTATTGTCAACGTAACTGGTGGATGCCGTCACCAGGGATCGCCCTCCACTCTCCATTCAGATCTTGTTCAAAGTTGTTGTATGTTCTGTGGTGTGGACCGCGGTCGGTAGCCTAGAGTACAAGGTGTGAAGCCCATTTTTGGTGTCCCCCAACGTGATATTGCTGGAATATTGCTAAAAGTGGCGTAAAACCATACTCACTCACTCACTAATTTCGGCATTGTTTTAATATAATTTTCTTCTTTCGTTCCAGTAATACTTTTTGGCGCGATCGATCGTCTTTTTTAATAATTACGCCCATACGCAATTGAAAGTGACCAAACTCGCTATTTTTCATGAGCTTCCCTTAATTCGATGTAGTCGGAGTTTCGGTCAATTTGAGCGATACGTTTGTACAGTGTATAAACAATGTATATTTCTTTGTGTCTAAAATTCATCATGGGTATAATTCTTGCTACAAAATATTTTTAAAGGTGTCAAATTTCTTTTGTACATCAGTTTGTTTACATACTTTTGGTATGATATTAAATGAAACCTTATGAGCAGATATTTTTGTTATTACCTAGTTTCGATGGAAATTTCTTCCTGCTTGATTTATAGTAGGAAATATATGTAAATAAAATAATTTCGAAACGAGCGGTTTTGTTGTTGACTCTGATGTTAATCTAGGATTTAGTTTAGTAACGTTGATAACCCGACTTCCGCGGTGTGTCACCCTACAAGCGCACACACTGGGACAATATAAGGGAGGGGTTGTGTGTACTACTGTGGTGACACCCATAAGTACTTGTGGTGCTGACAGGTAAACAGCCACGTACCACGGCCAATTCAGATTTCATTATTCATATCAACGACTAACGGATCCTGGTCCGTCAAAGGAACGCAACTCTGCTTATCGTATCGCCTACCTGTGATCTTGCTTTTAAGAAATAACTACCGGAGTACATCAGCCATGGTTGATTTTAAATTTGACATGGCTGTAGACTGTGACGATTTATCATAATGACATGTAATTAATGACAGTCAAGCAAAATGAAAGATGACTGAGTAGAGTGGTAGCATTGGGACTTGCTAGCGTGATCGATACTGAATTCAGAGTATGGGAGATGCTGCTGCTACTACTGCTGCTGCTGTTGATGATGATGATGATGATGCATCTCCGCAAAGGGGATATAATATCATCATCATTAGGTCTGCGCAATAACAATAAGTACAATAACCAAGAACTTGAGATTGTAAACGTCCTGTGTTCATTGGTCGTGTTTCGTTTCCGCATTTATGTTTCAGTATTTTGACAGTATGCGTTGTCAAATTAAATAAGTAGCCAATGAAGCCGTTCGTGACGTGACATTTAATTGAAAAGTATATTAAAAATCATAGAAGCTGAATTGAGCTCGGACGATCTAAAGTTGGACGTTCATACAGTTTGGACCTCGCTCTATGAATTTCATACGCCCGTGAACACACAGGAAGTGAATGCAACGTCGCATGCTTATGAGTTTTTTATCCCAAGTTTAGTCCTTATCTGAACACAATTTTATTTTAGTACTGGTGACTTATGAATGCACTGAGTCTGGCAACAGCCATCTGAACGCAGGAAACTAAACTGACGAACGAAAGAAAGTTCATACCAGGTGCTTTGGGATCATTTTCCACGAAGCAACGTGAATATTTTGAAAAATGTTTTCATTGTGACTTACAAGTCACAAATATTGTGTAACGTGTAGCGTAAACACCCCACATATTTGCTTCACAACGAAATCAATTGATTTTCCAAGTTATCGAGCTGCAAGAACAGTTTAGTGAAACTTTATATTTGCTTAATGACGGGTACACGTCACATGCCCTCGTGTCTTTGCAAGGATTAAGATAAAAAAAGAGGGCTTGCTTCGACCACACACCCGTTCTGTGAGGACCTAAGGTCATCCATTTGTGACAAGGTCGTTCAGTTCAGGGTAAAAATCGCCTTTCAATCGACTTGCAGAAATAACAATAAAGAATTGGTAGGTGTCATGAGTGGGGATCGATAGGCCAATCATCCATGATTATGGCAC